AAGTAACATCATCACCTATACTAGAAATCTGGTTTAACACCAAACTCAATTCAATAAATTTTTTCCTAAATACTCTAAATTTAATCACTTTACGAAACCTAAACAAAAACTATTAGTCTCTCTATGTCTCTCACAGTGAACTCAAAATTGGCAAAATAACCAACTACTCAACAACCCAAACAATATTCCAAAGCTCCCAACTTATTCTTTCTAACTCAAATTCAATTCATATCTTATCTACGCCTACTATAATACAAATTAACTATAATTAAACAATTAATATAAAGTGCAAAATACAAAAAGAAAAAAACTAATTCAAACTCTCTATTAACTAACAAGAATTACAAGCCTTACAAAAAATTTACTATATACTAACCAACCCTCCAACTCTACTCTACCTGAATTAATCATCTCCTCATCTAATATTTCCCTAATTCAAAACACAATTACTAATCTAATTTACCAAAACCAACTTATAAACCTTCATAATCTAATTCTTCTACTAAATTCAGAAACTCTTTACTTTTACACAAATGTATCAATCAAATATTCACAAACATCAAACATTCAAACTGGTATTGCATGAATACTTCAAAACAATACTCAAATAAAATTTAATATATCAATATCTTATACTTCAAATTCTACAAGAGCTAAACTATCAACAATAATTTACCTCTTTCTAATACTACTATCAAACTACAAAATCTATCTATATTTGGATAATCTCTCAGTAATCCATATACTCAAAAACAACTTACTTTACAACCATCTAACACAAACCAAAATAAACAACTAGGATATTATTCACATTTTAAATTACCTTATTCAAAAGAAAAATATCCAATTCACTATTCACAAAACTAAATCATACTCAAAAAATTCTTTTTATAATATCGCTGACTTACTAGCTAAACAAGGTACTAACAAAATAGAAATTCAACTTAATATCTAACTATTCTATCTACCTCCTTTCTTTGCATAGAACCAAATACTCCTACTACTTAAAATACGCAAATTTTGTATAAATATTCTCTCAATTCAAACTTTTAATAAGCTTATACAACTTAAAATATTTTGCAATCTACAACTCTTCAATATTCTTCAATTTACCAACATAATCAATTCACAAAATGATAACTACAAATTCTATTCCCTTAGAAACAAAATCATATTAAATAATCTACTAACAATAGCAAACTTAAATACTCACTATTCTAACTTATATCTCATACCAAATTATACATTTTGCAACCAATATGAGGACACTAAACATATACTTTCTTGTACACTCTACAAAACTAACCTATACCAAATTTTACTCAACCAAATAACAAATACTTCAAATACACTAAATTTAAATAACACTTCCTTCCAAACTATTTTACAAATAATTATTCATAACAACAACTCTCAAAATCTAACAAATACTCTCCTACTCCTTATTTAAGGCATCATCTAGACATCTCACTATGACTAAATTAACTTCTTAATCAAAAAAACAACTAACAACTTCTTCATTAAGCTCTCTAACTCTTTACTTATCTGGTTCAATGATAAAATCTGAAATGACAGAAACCAAATTCATTATGAATAGGAAACTACTCGTGGTATCTCTCAAAAAATTAAAAAAAATACAAACTGAATACATCTTTATCAATCTATATCTAACCAAACCCCTACTATAATCTATAATACTAATATAGATACTTATATTTAAAAATGTTTACTACAAAACTTTTCTATATATAATTGTTTTTTCTAATTAATCTTCTCTTTTTCCTAGAGGTCTCCCTTAACCTCCTCTATAGTCAATAGTAACTTTTGTTTAAATCAGCTAGCAAATAGAAAATGAGGGTATAATATCATACTGAATGTCTAACTATTAACAAATAGTCTTAGTAACAACAGTGTATATTAGGAATATATATTAGCTTCATATATATACTATCCTAATATATAAATGTACTAATTCTTTTCTTAACTAATATTATTAATTAATAAAAAAAAAAAAATATTATAACCAAATTTAGGCTTATCTATATAATCAAATTAACTAGAACTCTATATAGTTATATCTTAATAATAACAACAAATGATTACATAAAATTACTAACTTCAAATTCAGCAAACTTAAAACTTTCTATATTAAACTTCTTTACACATCACTCTGGTTATACTGACATCTGGATATAATGACACCATAGTAAAATCTTTCTATACTGACAATTTTTTTCAAAAATTTAATATAAAATGTTAGTATAACTCATTATATCGACATTTTGGATTTTTTTACTAATGTCTCAAAAATGTCGATATAACCAGAGTAACGTGTATAATGAACTACTAACACTATTATATCTTTATAAGTACTACTCAAACTATATATCAGATAACAAATACTTTAAATACAATCAAATAGACTCAGAACTTCACTGGATCACAAATTATAATTCTGATATATTACAAAGAATTATTTTATAATTAGTAACTGAAACTCTTAATTTTGCAAATTTGAAAATTACTCAAACTAATTCCAAATACTACAAAACCTAATTATTTACTATTCCTCTCTTCAACTATTTATAAACCTCTTTAAAACTATTAACTTATATACCTTACTTAAAGGACTTCTCCTATATACCTTTATTCAATTAATCCTACTATTTATTAACTCATTTTATATAGCTTTATAGATAACTATTAAATTGTTTCTTAAATTTAACTCAAAAATTTATAAACAACTATAGTTACCATATTGCTCTAAATATATTAACTAGAAATATCAATATAAAATTTATATACTATATTCAAACTTCTAACAAACAGAAAAAACAACTAACAACTATTACATACTTCACAACAATTATACAATTTATATAGTCTTTTTTCTCAATATAACTATATATCACTAACTGAACTCACTATACAAAAACTTTTAGCCTAGCTAATATATTGGATCAAATATAGCATCTCTACAAATTTCATTCTCTCTAATCAAGTCTAGATGAGTTTTGACCACTCTAGTAGGTTTAGATCACAGATAATTCTAATTTAGCTTTACTTTAGGCTAACTTTAGTTTAGTTATATTATTATTATCTGAGCTTTAATTCTTGTATATAATTTATTACTAAGTAGTTTTATATAAACTTTTAACTATATTTTATCTAATTAAAATATAGACAAGACCTCACCTCAACTTACAGGTTAAAATTAAAAAAAATTAAAAAAAACTAGAAAATTAGCTTTATATTTATTTATTTTCTCTAGAAAACTGTTGTTAACTATATTAGTAATATTAATAATAATAAAAAAACTAAAAACAAGTCTTTTAACTCTACTAATATACAAACTATTATTTTTACTAATACTATCTAAATTAATAAATATTAGAACAAAAAAAAATAAAAAATTACTAGCCAACTTTTTTAATTCAAAGATCAATATATAGAATATTTTGGTTCTTTCTATAGAACAAAAAAAATTTAAAAAAAGTAAAGATTTTAATTTATTATTATTAACAAAGTATATAATATTAACAAAAACAAATAAACTATATAACTAGTAAACAAATAAGTAATTAGAATTTTAATAAAACTTTTAAATTTCTATATTCTGATCTATTTCTATTACTAGCATATTCTTTAATTTATATTCATAATAACATAATTAACTTTAATACAAGCTTAAAAAAAGATAAAAATATTCTGAAAAAGTAACTTCAACTAGAATATCTAATGAAGCTATACTATCTAATAACACTATCTCAAGAATATATAACTCAGTAGTTATAAGAAAACTAGATTAAAGATTAGTAGCTATAGATATAAGAAAAAATAGAAAAGTAGTTAAAATATATGCTCTTTAACTTAGACTAAAAGACTAAAGAAAACAAATCTATAAAAACTTTAATTAAGAGAACCAGCTTATACTAAGTATTTAGAAATTTTAAATCAACTAAAAAACTATCAAACTTTATATTATACAAAATCTAAACTTTTCTAACAGAATACTTAATCTTTCTTACAATTTATACTAAACTCTACTACAAGGATAACTAATTCTTTAGTACCTTTATTTAATTTTCTGTAACAAAATCTTAACACCAAAAAGAATTCAATATACTCTGAATATAGCATTAAGAAGATATAAAGCTTAATACAATATCACAATAACAAACAAAACAAACTAAGATAAAATTTTTTATAAATTATAAAAAAACTAGAAATAGGCTATTTATTGTCTTTAGACCTAAATACATATACATTAAGAGAAATTACTAGAATAGTTTTCTACCTAGCAAGATTTACAAAAATATCAATATCATACAAATTTGAAGAAGTCCTAGCAGAAATTAATAAATGCTTAACTGCTAGCTATTTGCTTTTAATAGAAAAATCTTCTGATATTGCCTATACATTACCTCTTTAGCTTACCTCTCTTGACATAGGGCTACAGTGAGAAAATTTTCAATTTTCAATAACTACCTGAGAGCTACATTAAAGATACATGAATCTCTTTTTCTGCTAGTTCAAGAAATCTCTATTCTCAAGTCAAGAATTTGTTTCTTATTACAAAATGAAATGAATTAAAAAACTTATTGGCTTAGATTCTATTTAATCTCGTCATTCACTTTAAATAATCACTAAAATTACAAATTTTCCTCCGTCTTGAATTAATTTTAATAACTATGTATAATTTCCGTGATATAACTTAGAATAATCGTGAGCAGAGATCTTTTATTATTTTTCTGAAAAATAAAATTTAGATTTAAATTATAATTATTGAAAAAAAATATTAATTTCTATATATTAATATATACTATTACAACAATTCAAATTATAAAATTTATCGGCATTTAAATCTCAATATTAGATTAACAGTAAGGTTCCATAAAGACATAAATATATAATTTTAGCGAGATCATATATTAAACTTCTCCAAAAATATCTTAAAAGTTTTTTAGCATCTTCATTTTCATAACAATGAGTTTTTCTAGTTATATTATTTGTTCATTAACTTTTAATAAATCTAAACAAGTAAAATGATAAATTATTAAAGCAATGATCAATATAAAAAAAAAAACTAAGATAAGCTATTACCTTCAGGTGTAAAGTTATATCTTTGAGTTACGTATCTTTTATCTAAAAAATATAAAGCAAAATGTCACGCTTCTTATAACCTATTTTAAGAAAAATTACATACGATAGTTACCTGAACCTAGTTGAAACAGGTATTGCTCGCACGCAGAGTACAATTCTTCCTCTAATTCGGTATCATTTATTTGTTCAGTCACCCATTTTGCAGCGCGCTCGAATGCAGATTGCCAATCGGACTCATATTTAATTAACACAATATTAAGGTATGTAATCGTAAATGCTGTATTCCAAACGGAAGTATCACACCCTTTCAGACGGGGACTGCGAACATAACTCTTAATGGGTTCACTGACATCTACTACTGGAATCAGAAGATGATCAGATATTAAAGTGTGAAGAGCAAATGACCCATCGTTATTCTGAGAAGAGATAAGAGTATGTGGATCATCTGGGCTTGTTTGAGAACAAAGGGTTTCGTACACAGCATTGCGAGTTTCTTCAACTGCCACAGGTGTAATCTCGCATTCTGGGTCTTTATAAACATTGCCGAGATCGCTTTTTTCATGATTTTCGTATTTTGCGGTTTTTGGTGCTTCAAGTTCTTTCTTTTTTTCAGGTTCATCATCTTTTTTGGGTTCTTTTTTAAGTTCTTTCGGTATTTCATCTCCCTTGAGAGCTATCACATCTTTTTTTCGTTCCTCAATTATTTTATTTGTTACGTTATCAACTACATATTTATCAGCACATTCTATTAGTTCTTCTTCGGCTTCTTTGTCTCCAATTTGATAAGAAAGATGTTCACAGCCTTTATTATATTTATCTTCCCATTCATCTTTATATTGAGACGCGGCATTTTTAAGATACGAAAGATTGATAGCAGTTGCAAGAGCTGACGAAAATTCGGGTGATTTAAGTTTTGCATTAGTGACTTTCTCTTTGATAGTAGTAATTATTTCTTCTTTAGGAACATCTAATTCAGTGCACAATGAATCATCCAATTCAATACTGCCATCTTCTTTTTGATTAGATACAATTTTTCTAGATTTCTCAGGGGAAGACAACTCTTGAATGACAGTAATTGCAACATTTTTCTTATGATCTTTTTCAAACTTTTTAGTAACATTATCAACTACATATTTGTCAGTGCAATCTAATATTTCCTTTTCGGCATCAGCATCTCCAATTTGTTTAGAAAGATACTCTCGAGCTTTGTCACATTTATCTTTCCATTGATTTTCGTGATGTGGTGCGGTAACTTTAAGGTAACTAATAATAATTGCTGTTTTCCACCATGATTCTGATTCTGGTGATTTAAGTTTCTTATTTGTTGTGGATTTTTTTACCGTAGTTACTACATTCGTAACGGGAATGTCCAATTCATTACAGATAGTCTCATTGACTTCGAAAAATCCATCATCGTTCTGGTTAGATACAGCATCTTCACATTTTTCGGGAGTGGTTGAGTCTTGAATTGTAACAACTGCATTTCTCTTTTTATCTTTAATCACCTTCTTTATACAATTTTCAACTACATAATTGTCTGCACATTCTAAAAGTTCCTTTTCCACATCGGCATCACCTATTTGCTTCGAGAGATATTCACGGGCCTTATTATGTATATCTTCCCATTCATCTTTATGTTGAGACGCAGCTTTCTTAAGATATGATATATTAATAGCAGTTGCAAGGCTCGATGAAAACTCGGGTGATTTAAGTTTAATATAAGAAATTTTCTTTTGAATTGTTGTAATGACTTCTTCTTTAGGAGCATCTAATTCATTACAAATTGAATCACTTAATTCAATGCAACCGTCATCCTTTTGGTCTGAAATAATTTCTTTCCATTTTTCAGGAGAGGCTAATTCTTCAATGATAATAAGAGCTTCTGCTTTTTCATGGTCGTCATGATCATCCTTATTAAATGTAAGGGCATCTTCAATCTGATCACCAAGTTTGGTAGTTGCACTATAAATCTCATGGAAAAAGCTTTTTTTAGGTTCTTTTATGGGTTCGATAATTAAGTCGTCGTCATTAATAGTTTTGGCGCTTTCGAAATCCGTAGAACGATCTAGATAATCTTATAAACCAAATAATGTAAACAATAGTATAACGCAGATATTTGTGAAACCTGAATTAATAATAATACCTTGGTATGGAGTATCCAATTCAATAACATCATCGTTAATCTTATATTGATTAATCGCAAAGTTCTTGGCAGATCCATAAAGCTTTCGTTCGATATGAAGATTTTTAATTTGTGAACTTAGCCATTTATATAATGTATCGCAATCAGTAGACCACTGCTCACGATGATCGACAGCTACCAAACGGAGATACCATATCGATACTGCAGTGACTAAAATATCATTATGAAGCTTCGATACGTCCTCAGAAAGAAAATGAATTTGTAATGCTACTTCTAAGGACTCTTTATTTAGGAATCCAAGATGTTGGGCAATATTGTCGTCAAGTTCATAATGATCTTTCTTTGTACGACAAGTTATGAAATCTTTAACAGTTTTATCATTAGTAGTTTCTCGGCTAACAATAGTACCGGATAAATAAATCTTCTTCCGACTATTGCGTCCTAAATTCAGAAAAAAAAAAGTGTTCAAAAAACATAATGGTGGAATTTAAAAATAAATATTATTTGAAATGGTAAACATACTTTTCTCTCGTCTCTTCGTTTCGTCGTCTTCTTCTTTCCTTGCTACATCTTTAGTCTTAACAGATTTAATGAAGCTATTATCAATTTCAATAGCATCTTTATCAACTTCATATCTTGAAACAATAAATTCCCTAGCACATCTCATGATTTCATTCTCAAGTTCAGTATCTCCATTATATTGTTTTGTTAACCATTCGGATAACTTCTCATAATTAGAAATCCATTCAAGTCGATGGTCAACAGCAACTAAACGTAGGTACCAAATAGTGCATGCAGTAACCCAAACGTTATAATGAACTTTGGTTACATGTTCTGTTTTAAAATATTTTTTCAGATATAGTATAAATTCGTCGACACTTTTGAAACCATAATAATCAGCGACTTTTTCATTTAGAAGAATATAACCATCTTTGTTTTGATGGGCAATAAGCGTGCAAATATACCGAATAGTGATAATCTTCCGTGTAATAATTGTTTGTTTTACTAAAAAAACGATAATAATAAAAATGTCAAATAAAGCATTTTGATTAATTAAAGAACCAATATTATAGATAGATGCGTAAAATTTACCTGGATTTATAATTTCCAATTGAGCTTTATCAAGATTGTTAATGTTAACTTTAAAATGAACTATAACGAACTTTTTACATAAATCGATTAATCGATCTTCAATTTCAAAGTTGTTGATTTCTTTACTGACCCAATCTTCACTGTTCTTGATAATGCGCTTCCATTCACCATGAAATTTCCAACACAAAACTTTGAAATATATAATCGTAAGTGCCGTAGACCATATACTCAAGTCATAATTTAAAAGGTCATTATCTGAAGATACATGCTTCGTGAAGCTTTCTTTCAATTCGTCACATGATTTATAATTAAAGAAACGCGCCAATTTATCAGAAAATTCAAAAGATCCATTTGAGTTACGCCAGCTGATAAGAATATACAAATGTTGGAGTTTAATGGATTCTCGAGTAAAAACAAAATCATCACCTTCGGTGAAGGAGGTAGTGAAAAATTGATATTCAAAATTTAACTTTCCTTTAACTGGCTCATTACCAATTTGAAGTGGGAACCACTCATTCTTAGGTTTATGTTCATTATTTTGAAATAAAACGCTAGTGTCCAATTCGTAGGTACCAAGAAGTCTATCTGCTACAAAAAGGTTTTCATCAAAAATTTCAAATGAAATTTTTTCTCCTGGTCCATGAATTGGAATGTAAAGAATTTCATCCCAAACTGGATTAACAGTTCTATAGTTAACACTAGTGCGAACCATTTCATTTCCGGCAGCATTAATAATGCGAACGTACGGATCCGGATTAGAAAAGGTAAACCAACTATTAGATTTTCTAAGATCTTTAGCACACTTAACAACAATTTTAATTACTCCAACATAATCATCATTAAGGACAAATTCCTCTATTTCCTGAGGTTCTTCATCTACATAATGAACACCTCGAGTTCGATTATGCTGACTTTCTTCCTTAGCTTCCTTTGCTTTAATTAAAGAATCCTTAAAAGATTCATCTTCTTGTTTAGCACCCTGATCAACTTCAAATCTTTTAACAACAAAGATTCTAGCAGCCTCAAGAAGTTCTTCCCGCACATTATCATCTTTCACTTGTTGACAAAGCCAATCATATGCTTTTTGATGTACCTCAGCCCACTCTCTTCGGAAATCAACTAATACATATCGAAGATACCAAATCAAAATAGCAGTACTCCAAATATGAGCATCCAATTGAGCAATCCTAGGTGAGTGAGATGAAAAATGAGCTTCAAAATGTTTTTTGGCATCATCAACATTGCTAAAACCCAAAGATTCGGCTAATTTAGCGTTAAGTTCGAAACAACCAGATTCATTTTGGTAAGTGATGAACCGACGAACAATACGTATAGTAACGTATCGTCGGGTAATAATTAATTTCTTGGAAATCACTTTATAATAAAAATTACCAATTAATCAATGTCATAAACGTGCATTTGAATTATATAAATAAATTTTAAAATATATTGTCGCGACTGAAGCTGGAAATTAGAGTCTCGATTTAAAATATAAAACCCTGCTAAAATATAACTATACACTTTTATTATCAACCCTAACCCTAATCCTAACCAAACTACAAAAAAAAAATCGAAAAAAATACACGCCAAAATTTTTTAAAACTTTCATATTAAAATATTTACAATTTCCAGCTTTAGCCGTGACAATAATTAATAAAAGATAACATTGAGTTCTTACCGATAAGACCCAAATTACTTTTTTGATCCTCACTTGCCCATTCAGAGACATTAAAGTGTTGAATAACAAATTTGTTAGAATAATTATATAAACGTTCTTCTACTTCAATATCGGGAGCGTTTTCACTCAACCAAGTCTCGGCCCTGTTGTAAACATTTAACCATTCGTGGCGTTTATCCCACAACAAGGCATTAAGGAATGAGGTGACAAGTACAGTTCCCCAAATGTTATGATCTAAATTACGAACATCCTCATCATTTTTTACAAATTCAGAGAAAGCTTTAATAAGTTCATCTTTAAAAGAAAAGTTAAATAATCTTGCTAAAGAATCGGTAAGTTCAAAGCAACCATATTCAAGTTGATAAGTCATAAGGAGGTATAAATGTTTAATCGAAACATTAGTTGTGGTAATAATTTCCATATAATAACCAGGTTCAGGAAGCGAGAAAAATTCAGCAACAAAAGATAATTTTCCTCTGTTACTTCCTTTATATAAGAGATTTGCATTAGGTGCTGATTTCTTTCCTTCTAAAGAACCATTAGGAAGTTCTTTAATTATGGATTTGAGATCAAGAATATAGGAACCCAAACGTGTATCCTTAAAGAAAGCATTATAATCGAAAACATGTAAATTGAATTTTTCATGAATATCATAAACTGGTATATAGAAAACTTGTTCCCAAACGGGATTACAGTTATTGTAAATGACACGCGAATCACCATACACCCGATTGTTAGCAATGTTTGATATCTTAACATATGGATCAGAGGCATCACCTCCAAACCATAAGTCGGTTTGCCTAAGATTTTTTGCACAAATAATTTCAATACGTGCGATACCATGAAGTTTACGAACTTTAATGAAACAAATGAAATATAAAAAGTAAAAAATTAATAAATAAAATAAATAAATAAATAATATATATATATATATCGGTATAATAAATAAAATAAATAAATAAATTTTATATATATATATATCGGTATGAATTACCAATATCAAAAAAATTAATATTTTTACCACCACCTCCTCGGTCTTTTTGAGGGTACTTAATATAGGAAACCATTTCAGAAATACTATTTTCGAATTGACGATCCATCTCCAAAACATCATCCTTTACACCATGCCATTCTTTAATAAATGATTGAACAATTTGAGAAGCTTCTTGTATAAGAGATTCATTCCCCTTGAACTGAGCCCATATCCATCTATAAGTTTTCTCGTATGATTTATGCCATTTTTTCTTCTGATCGATGGCGACATAACGGTAGAAATAAAGTACTATTATTGACATCCAAGTTTGCATACTAATTTGAGAGATTTTTTGTGATTTGGAGTGTCGATTTTTATAATCATTGAATGCCGTACAGAGTTTATCGATGTTTTCGTAACCAAAGGACTTTGCAAGTTCATCGGTAACTTGATATGCACCATTATTTTGTTGTTGACATTTAAGAATACGCTTAACATGAATCACTGAAAGGGTTTCTCGAGTTATCAACTGTTTTTTTCTACCACCTATTTTAAATTTTAGTATATTAAATGTTTATTTAATAGTAAGTAATAAATAAAGTAGAAACAACAATTAATTATAAGATCAAGGATAAAAGGGGAGGGATAATTATTACAAACCATCAAGTTTAATATCAAATCTGTTACAAACAGCCTTTTTGCCGGTAGCAACAGCAATCTCTTCAACCTCTAAGTCGTTAACTTCCTTACTAATGTATTGTTCAGCACGTTCATAAACACCACCCCATTCACTTCGGTAATCTTTCAATAAGAAACGTAAGAACCATAAGATCATGCTACTAGTCCACACAGTAGGAGTTTTCTTTAAAATCCGTTCTTCATGGCATTGAGATTCGTATAATTGCAAAAGAGGCTCTTGTGAATCATAACCAAATAGATTTGCTAAAGTATCGGAAGGAGGGAAACCACCATTTGGAGCCTGTAAAGTAACAAGAACGAAAAACGTTGTAAGATCAAAAGGTTTTTCCTTAAGATTGGCAAGAAAATCTGAGGTAGGCTTAGGAAGAGGTTCCAGTGGAAAGAATTTCGCTTTATAATGAATCTGTCCTTTGGTAGAAAGTTTTACCCAACTAAGAAAATTTTATAAATGAAAAAGAGAGATTTCATTATAAAGATATAATAATAAGTAATATAAAAACTAAAATTTTGCAATTACACGTCGATGCCATTTGGAGTTCCTTCATAAACATCCTCCGAAACCTCTTCTAGTAACACTGAGTTCCACTTTTCGAGTTCAACTTTTTCGGGTTTCACTTTAACGGATTCAACTTTTACGGGTTCCACTTTTACGGGTTCCACTTTTTCGGGTTCCACTTTTTCAGGCTCCATTTTTTCAGGTTCCACTTTTTCAGGTTCCACTTTTTGAGGTTCCACTTTTTCAGGCTCCACTTTTTTGGGTTCCACTTTTTCGGGTTCCACTTTTTCGGGTTCCACTTTTTCGGGTTCCACTTTTTCGGGTTCCACTTTTTCAGGCTCCACTTTTTCAGGCTCCATTTTTTCAGGCTCCACTTTTTCAGGTTCCAATTTTTCAAGTTCTACTTTTTGAGGTTCTACTTTTTCAGGCTCCACTTTTTCAGGTTCCACTTTTTCAGGTTCCACTTTTTCGGGTCCTAGTTTTTCGGGTTCCACTTTTTCGGGTTCCGCTTTTTCGGGTTCCACTTTTTCAGGTTCAGGTTCGACTTTTTCAGGTTCGAGTTTTTCAGGTTCCACTTTTTCAGATTCGAGTTTTTCGGGTTCCACTTTTTCGGGTTCCACTTTTTCAGGCTCCGCTTTTTCAGGCTCCACTTTTTTAAATTCCACTTTTTGTGGTTCCACTTTTTCAGGCTCCACTTTTTCAGGTTCCACTTTTTCAGGTTCCACTTTTTCGGGTTCCATTTTTTCGGGTTCCACTTTTTCAGGTTCCACTTTTTCAGGTTCAGGTTCCACTTTTCCATGTTCGAGTTTTTCGGGTTCGAGTTTTTCGGGTTCCACTTTTTCATGTTCCACTTTTTCGGGTTCCACTTTTTCAGGTACCACTTTTTCAAGTTCCACTTTTTCAGGTTCGACTTTTTCGGGTTCGACTTTTTCGGGTTCGACTTTTTCGGGTTCCACTTTTTCAGGTTCAACTTTTTCAGGTTCAACTTTTTTAAATAAATTAAAATATTTTAAAATTTAAATACAAATGTAACCAAACCATTGTCAACACATTATGTCTGGGTATTGGATACTATTAAATTAAATTTACCAGATTTTGGTTTAAGATTTCTGTGATCTTTTAAATCAATGATATTTTTTGGAAATTATTATTATTATTTTAAATTTAAATTATGACCACACACGAATAAGATCAAATTATAGCAATCACTTTACCAAATGCATAATTTTGGGTAAAAAATGCTATTAAATTAAATTTATGTTAATTAATCCTTTAGAATTCAACTATTTTTTAAATATGAATTACCTTTTTTAGATTCTTTTTTTATGAGTCTTGTCTTATAAGAAGAAAGTAGATTTGGATTATTGATCATTTTTTCATATTCCTCTATCAATTCTGATGAATTTGGTCGGTTTGACGGATCTGCATCCCAACATTTTTTCATAACAGTTTCATAAACTTCTGGAGTTCCGTCTATGACTTCTGGACGTTTATGACGATTTACTATGTCCAGCGCCAATTTTAAATCATGAACTAGATCTGGAAATGGTCTATCTGAAGATGTCAGTTCCCACATAATTATGCCTAAACTATATATATCTGATTTTGTTGTGTATGGTTTTCCAAGCAAAACTTCTGGAGCAACATAAGGCAAAACGCCTTCGATTTCCTCTATTAAAGATAAATTTATTTAGTATAATAATAAAATTTGGTAGTTTAATTTATAAATAATATTAATACTTGATTGTGAATCCGCGGAACTTGAAAATTCAGGATCTACTGAAAGTCCAAAATCACTAATATATATTTCTGTATCATCATCGACAAGGATATTTGCGCAATGAAAATCTCGATGAATTATATCTGATTCATGAAGTCCATTTAAAGATTTTGCAATATTAAGAAGAACCTTTAATCTCTCTATCCATGTGAGTTTATGCACATTGTTTTCGATAAATGTTCTGAGGTCACCGTGAATTGCGCGTTTCATTACCATCGCATATTGCGTCTCTGACTTCGTTAAACCATAGAAAGGTACAGCACCTTTTTCAAGACATTTATAGTGTATTTTAAACTATAAATTTATGCGTAATGATTTATTACTTGCATACTTATGAATGATAAGAAATGAATTATTAATGTGTATAGTTACTTCATCGAGAAATTTTGGTTCAAAATTTTCAGATCCTTTCAAAACCTTAAGCACGATATCGACATTTGGTAATTCAACGATTTCATTATTACAACCAATTTCATCTTGTTTAAATGGTATCCATTTACCACTAAATACTTCAGAAAAACCCCCTCTTTTTATTTTGTCATTTTTCTTAATATCTGAACATGGTATCCACTCAATAAAATCATCGCAATACTGGTTTTTAGACTTTGTATTTTGAATAAATTTGTCAATGTATTCATTTTCACATAATAAAAGTGGTTTAATAGATAGTCTACATAACGATAATTTTTTTGTATGTCCAATTTTCTTTCGGTTACAAAATTCACAGAGCTCCATAACGATAAATTCAAAATCCACTGCAATTGCAACAAGGAACTAAATCAGTGAGATCTACGACTGATGTCATTTTTTCATTTTTTTTTTTTAACCCGCTCGGGGAGTACATACGTCATTTGTTTACTAGCACTAACAAATCTAGGCCCTAACTCTAAGGGGACATGTCAGATCGTGGGGTAGTAGACAAAATCTCAGGTTTAAATATACGCCGAAAAAAACAATCACGTTACACGACACAATTGCACTTTATTTGGACTAGGCCGGGGTGTGTGAATTTTATTGATTAAGATTAGCGAATTACATGATTGAAAGCAAAGCGAATGACCGAGTTGGTCATAATGGCATTAACATCCGCGAAAGAAGCAATCAAATTGCACTGGGAGTAGCCGCAGGATTTAGCCGATGGGGCCATTCCCCGCTCGCTGAAGCGAGCAAACCGGCCGTAATCGAAAAAAAATGATAGAGTCACGTGATTGTAAATTTTTTTGGGGCGAAGATTTTATTGGTTCGATAACTAGCGGGTCTGAACTTCAGGTACAGTAGCCTCACAAAGTATAACACGGTTACACAAAAAAACATAACAAAAATTTATGCAAAAAAAACATAACAAAAATTCATGCAAAAAAGCTTACGTAAAAA